TTTCTATTTATTCACTGGATTGCTGATAGACCGAAAAAAAAAAAAAAAAAACTGAATTCACCTGCCACCATCTTGGTACTCCCCACTTTAACAGAGCTGTGCCATAAAAATGCCTGTAATGTAATCAATACATGTATATTCCATGTAAATAATAATTTGAGCACTTTTGGCACATCATCAGATAGTGTCTGGGTGTGTGTGTAATATCTGATTGCAGTATTATTATGCTCCATTAACACACTAATTTTGTTGTGATGGATTTGTATAATATGTAATATTAAATAATTTTTTAGCCTTCATGGATTTCATATCGACTATGAAATGTGATGTGCCCATTTTTTACCATAAATACGGTAATCTACTGATGCTATGAAATAGCAAGTGTGAGTCAAAGTGATGGTTTTATCTTTGTTTTGAAAGTCTTAAGCCCCCCCCCAAGAAAATGAGATCCTCCTCGTTGTTCGATGCCGTATCACATGTAATGTTTACATTCTGACCGGTCTAACTACAGAGTACCAATATGGCAGCCGGTGACTTCACAGCATCACGTACCACCAACGGAATAGAGATCTGTGCTTATTTCCTGTTCCCATGTGGATGCAATTCAAACGCAGCATCAAGCAGTTTCAGTCTAAACCAGATTGGCAGCAATCATGAATGATTTATTTCTTCAAATCATTATACTTACACTAAAGATGACATACCGAATTTGTGATTTCAAGAAATGTCTTTGTATATTATAGGGGAGAAGAAAAAGTTACATTTCTACAGGTTTTCTTTGACTCTTCTATGATATTTAAGATAAAGAACTGCTCAATCTATTCAACATGTGCTATGGAGAACAATAAATGATTAATGTAGAAATCAAGGCTGTATTAATATGCGTGTATACTTATTAGCAAAAAAAAAAAAATGTATTAAAATTTAGCCAGTCCCTTGTGATTTAGTTGAAAAAGTATAAATGTTTTGCTAATTTACCTGGCTGTTGGTAAAGTGAGATTAGTGTAGGATGACCAAAGAACTACATTGGTCCCTGCCTGCCCCCCCGTTACACAAAGAAGCCGGTATGCTTCATCTTTTGGCCATTTCATCCCTCCTCTGAGCTCATCTGCTGACATGTTTCTTCCCTTGACTGAGCCTCCAGTGGATCTAGTTTACACCAACCTTTTCTAACATGGAACGTATAGATGTGCCTCTACATTACATTTTTGTGTCCAATTCTGTCTTGAACCCCCAGTCAGCCTTGGCAAAAAGGATTTAGCCTGTGCCTGGTTCCTCTGCACAGCTCCTGCATGCATGCATGCTGAGTTTAAGGGATTATCTATGGTTGCCACATGCAAATCCTGCAAAGTCAATTACTTTATGACTTATATGGAAATCTTTTAAACCAACCAGTCTGCACGACTTAATTGATCTTCTTTTAGGTGCCTAAATATACAGAAAAATAAAGTATGCTTAGATCTTTATTTTTGTTTTTAGCTGTCTCTTTAACTCTTGTAGCCATTGGCCATGAGTGATCTTGTTTTTTTATTTAGTTAAAAAGGAATCCTCACCCTAAAATTTAAATTTTTTTGGTCTTTGATGTCCTTTTGGTGTCCAGTTGAGGCAGATGGCTGCTAATAATGAGCCTGGTTCTGCCTGTTTCAAGGTAGATTTTTCTTCCCCCTATTACCAGGAGCTTTATTGGGATGAGAGGGTCATTAAGAAAAAAAAAAAAGAGCTCGAAATCAAGTCCAAAAGACAAACTCCCATATGATCAGATAGGGGATCCAATATCCAGATAGTCGGCTTTAATGATCTCAATTAGTGTCAAACATTGTTACCTTGGCAACAGTCTGATAAAGAAGCTGATATTTAAGTTTAATGAGCAGACCAAAGATGTATGATCAGCAAACCTTTTATTAAATTCACTTTTAATAAAACACAGCAGTATCAGAAACGATATATGTAGGAGAAAAAAAACAGATTCTGATATTTGGTGTTTCTCCTACACTTTGTTTCATTCTTATAAATTCACCAGAAATCAGCTTCAGTGTGTTTGAAATGTATGGGCAGTATGAGCACATGTTCAGAGACAGCTCAGCTTGTTGAATCACATCCTGCTTAGTGGCAACACATTTTAATGAGCTAGTTTCCTCTGAAAGTCTTTTAAACAAGAACAGATATGTCTCTTCTAAAAGGAACTAAACTTAGACGCTGCTGCGTTTCACCACACCGGTGATCAAAGAGACAAAACTGAGCAAAAATAAAATAATCCCCCGCCCTTGAAAAGTTCCTCCTCTTCTCTGGGGCTTGAAGATCACATTAAAGTTGTTGTGGTTAGAGTTTGAACTACTGATATTAGATGTTTAAAAAAGAGATCAACAGCTGACTCCATTTCTGATTCTTACTTCAGACAAAAAAAAAAAAAAAAAAGAAATTGATTGTTAGGTAAAACAAATTGATCCAGAGTGAGGCAAAGCTGTTTAGTTGAACATTGAATTTTCTGTGAATATGGTTCTGCTGCTGCATAGGTTAACTAACACACCAACCGAGGATGAACATGACATTTTTCCTGCAATCCGTCTGACTGATTATTAGGATCCTGCAGAGCTACATTAAGGTGATGAAGTCAGAGGCTTATTTGGAGCTAATGCTCCTATAAAACAAAGGAGACGTTCGGATTGGCATCTTTAGTCAGATAAGAGGGGGCAGAAGATTATCAGGATGTTTGGAGCAGCTTCAGGAGAAACATAACTTTGGCTTGTTTGTGCACACAGTTCCTGTCTTCATCACAATTAATGCTGAAACTGCAGTAAAGGCAGTTCCATGTATGATTATCCAGGGAAATCCTTGATATTCTTAAATGGAATTTAATTTCCACTTTAAAAAAAAAAAATGTCGCCCATAACAGATCTAAAAGATGCTCCACAAACATCTCCCGCTGATTACAAACCTCCATCAGCAGGAAACCAGGCAGCATCAAAGAACCCAGCTGCTCCACTCTGAGCATCACTTCTGAATGTAGATGATGATTATGCACAGAGTTCCCACCAGTCCTAAAGCCTGGAAACCCAGGAACCAGAGCAGCACCCAGAAGAGCACCACCACCACCGGCTCCACTGTCCTGTCTCCAAAGTAGACTTGGGTGAAGCCTACACCCCGCAGACACTTGTTGATCATCCCAAACAGAGTCCCCATCCTCTCACAGTCGTCCAGCTGAGGGGCCTGGACTTCTGGCTCACTGAGACGACCTGGTCCAGCTTCGCTGGGAGGGCGTGCACGAGTCCGACTTGGATCCAACTGCAGGGACAAAGTTCAACTTGGTTTTAGTACTCAACAAATATTATTAAGGGATCATTGCAGGATAGATAGGTTTAAACAAGATCGATTGATAACACTGATCTAAAGGAGCTGCCTGGTGTTTCTGCAGTAACTATTAGACCAGGAAGTGATAAGGCTCCACTCAGATGCTGAATAATTAACTGGCTTTAATGGGACACTAAATGGAACTTATATCAGATGTTTACAGCACTTCCTGTTTTCCCAAAACTCCCCACCCCCACTCATCCACCTGTCTACCAGACCCCACCCTCCATGATTCTGGTTAACACCACATGTCAAACGTCACACTGGTCACACTGGTCAATTCCCTGATATTTACCACTTAATAACTGGGTTAAAATGAGTAATACAGGGGCCGAATTTGGATCAGAACCCTAACTGTTTCTAGAGTTAATCAGATCTACTCAAACCGGATCAAAATGCCGTTATATTACTATAAACTTTAAATTGTGTGATTTTTTTAACCGAGTTCGGACCAATCCTTATTTCTAGCTAAACTGACTATATGACCGAAACTCTTTCTGATACTTAAACTGGGTTCCTTTCTGTTCGGAACTTCCAGCAACATTATCCAATAGTTGAGGGGAGTTGGTCCAAATCTCAGAATCAATTTAAACAGCTGCTTTCATACTGTGACAGATTTACCCGGACTAAGTGTTGCTCTCCGCGGAATGTCTGCTCCGAAATCCGCTCCCTCTGGTCCTCCACAGAAAGTCCATCGATAAGCCCTGGTGCTGCCGACATGTTCGGCTCCAACTTCCAGAACCCGAAGCGAACCGTCAGAGGAGTCAGAGTCCTGAGAGGGAGAGGCTGCCGGTTAGAGTAACACAGGCCTGGAGCGCCCCCTGCAGGCTAGGCGAGTCCTGACCATTTGAGACACGACTAAACAGCAGCGGGATTTTTTTTTCTTTTATTATTTGTATTAACCGGAAGAGTCAAAATTATCATAATAATTCTTAATGCTCTTAAGATTATGACATACATTCAACACGACATTAGGTAATTAAATATAGCATATATCTTTGATTGATAAAAATTATATTAATATTACATATATATATATATATAATATATATATATTTTTTATCAATCAAATATATATTATATATATA